TCATCACCACCAACACCTCCTTAACCCCCCTCAACAACCCCCCCAACCCCCCCTTCACCTCCACCATCCCCCCATTCCACCACCGCCCTCCCCCCCAACAAATAAACCCCCTCCACCGCGCCCCCCAACCCCCCGCCCACCAGCCCCACCAACGCGCTCTCCACCTCGGGCGGGACCGCCGCGCCGGGGAACAGGAACGCGCAGCCCTCGGCCTCGTCCAGCAGCGGCGCGACGTCGAGGCCGACGTGGCGCACGCCGCGCAGCGGGGCCAGCAGGGCGGGGTGGGCGTGTCGGGCGTCGGCGAGGGCGAAGAGCAGGGTGGAGGTGAGGGAGTGGAGGAGGAGCATGTCGTGGGTGAGGTTGAGGCGGAGGAGGCCGGCGGGTTTGGGGGGGCTGTTGGGGTTGGTTTGGGTTGCGGGGAGGGAGAGGGGGAGGGTGTCGGGGAGGGTGGTGCTTGTGATGGTACTGGTGGTGGTGGTGGTGGTGGTCTTGAGGGAGAGGAGTTCGTAGCGGGCTTCGGAGCAGCTGGCTAGGAGGGCGCGGGTGGTGCGGGTGGAGGCGGCGAGGTCCGGGGTGGGGAGGATGTGGAGGGTTGGGTTGTTGTTTGGTTCAAGGGAGCTCGGTTCTGCGTCGGTGATGGCGAGGTGGACGCGGTGGACTCGGCCGTGGGAGCATGCCGAGAGCATGGCTTCCCGCCATATTTGCAGACGGAGCTCCGCCGGGAGGTAGGAGAAGAGATGAAAGCTACCGCCGTGGCTTTGTTGTGTTTCTGCTGGCGTGGACTTGGCGTTGCGGGCATGTGAAGGCCATTCGCTCGGTGTCTTGGGCAGGTCCCGGTAGGGGTATGGAGAGTATGGACGTCCGCTGGGTGAGAAAGCGGATTGTGACGTCAGCACCCCGAGGGGCTGGCGGTGCCACGGCACATCGATAATGGTCAACTTTTCCTGCATGTTTACGGTTTGTTTGCATGTGGTCCAGGAGGGGCAGGTGGTTGGTCCGGTGCAACGCAATGGGGCTATTCTGCCTTTTGGCCTTTTACGCCGTATAAGAGGAGCCTGTCCGGGTCGGGATGGACACCGGCCCTGAAACGGTTAGCCAACTGCCTCGCGAGCCACTTCCTGGCGACCGATAGTTGGGGTGGTGGGGGCCAGGCCTGGGTCAGACTCGAACTAGGGTCACTACCGTGCGGCTGTGGCCGAGGACGCGGGGACGGACCTGGAAGCGGAGTGTTTGCGCCGCCCCTGCACCGGTGGTAAATTACAAGTTTGCCGAGTTTCACTCACTGGGCGGCAGCCAAGTGAACTCTGCAGGACACTACCCGACTGGGCGTTGCTTATTTTGCGTGTCCGGTTTCCTTTCTTCCTGCTTAGTACGGAGCAGGGAGCATGTCTCTCTCGTGATCCCCTTTTCTCGTTTCCCTCCGAGGATCAGAACCCCAACACGTTCAGGATCGATCCGCCACATGTCAGACTGTGGCTGCCGAGTGTACGGTGCGTGAGGGTTGAATGGACTTAAGCCTTAGACCCGACGGAGCGGGCGAACCAAAGCAGCGGGAATGGGCGTTGGGCGGGCTCGGTAATCTGCTGTTTCGTCGATCGAGGAGAGCGGTCGAATAATAATCTGCAGGAAGACCCGTCAGACTGTCGCTCCCACGAGGCCACGAGGCAGGGCCAACCGACCCGACGCCGCTCGGAAGCGCTGTGTCCAAACGGGCCAAGCGCAACCGCCACCTCCAAACCCGGGTGTGTGGCCCGATTATGTGACCGACACATGGGCGGGCAGTTGGCAGTTGACGTCGAAGCGGCGAAGCGAGGGGTCCAGGCGTCGCACGCAAGGGAGAGAGAAAAATGCAATGATGCGAGGGTCGGTGCAATCTCCGCCGAAAATCGCAGCACAATGAATACTGTGTACACCGAGCTCATTAGCTCGTCAATTACCCAATCCATCGTCCCAAGCTCCAAAGCCCCAAGTTCCGAAAAGCTTCATTCAAGCCCTGGCCGACAAAAAAAAAAAAAAAAAAGCCGAAAACCTTCGGGGTCCCGATGCGTTGCATGTGAAGTGGAACCTCAATGGGGTCCTGAATGGAGCTACAAATAAGCTCCCAGGCACATTCGTTCCAGGGCATGCATGCCAAAGTGGAAATGGGAAATGGGAAAGGGGAAAGTGGACTTGGGCGCCAACTCAGGGCAGTGCCGCGGTGTTCCTGGCAGCTTGTGGGTCTCACGGGAGCTTGAGTGCTTAACGAGCTTGAACTGGGCCCGGATTGTGGGCCCCGGCAATTTGACCTTTCCGGAATCGAATTCCCGGATTCCAAAATCCAGGCAGCCCGACACGCGTGTCGATCAGCGGAAACGCGGGGGTTGCACTCGCGTCATCACCATGGGAATTACCAACCAGTCCTTGGTAATCAGACGCGCAACGTCAACGACATCGACAGTCAACCTGGACAATGAGGTAGGGAGACAAAGGGAATATTGTAGGTTATGAAATAGGAACTGTCGGCCCGAGGATAACAACGAGAAGTTGAGAACAGCACCACCAACACTCGCATCATCCGCAGGACCACATTTTACCAAGTCGGCACTTGCAAAACTCCAAAAGCAGCCGCCATCATGAAGGTTATCGTCACAGGATGCAACGGTCTCGTCGGCAGTGCCCTAGTCCGGCAATGCATTGCAAATGACAACATCTCCCATGTCTTTGCCTTGACCAGGAAACCGCTGGACGAGGCCGTTGCCAAGAGCACCAAGGTCACCGTCATTCTCCACGACGACTTCTCCACCTACCCGCCCGCGCTGCTGAGCCAGCTTGCAGGGGCCGAGGCGTGTCTTTGGTGGGTCCCCCCTCCCGCTTGCCGCTCGAAACGGGCCATCGACACCAAAAGCCGGCTCGGGAGTGCTCGGGAGTGAAGGCTAGTTAGCTAATCGATCTGACGATCATCGCGGCAGGGCCATCGGCGGCAGAGCAACCCAGTTCCCGGACATCGAGACGTACAGAAGAGTCTCGATCGACTACACCCTAGCCGGCGCGAGGGCTTTCCAGGAGGCGCTCGTGCCCCAGCTGCCGGAGGGCAAGCAGTTCCGCTTCCTCTTCTGCAGCGGCAAGTTCGCCGAGTGGGATCAGGACAAGCCGCTGCATTTCATGGCCGACACCCGGCATGTAAAGGTATGGATGGTGCTGTGTGATGTGCCGTCGAACGCTTTGCAGCGTTCCATCCCCCCTCCCCCCTCCCCACCTCCCTTCATGCAACCACGGCTAACTCCGTCACAGGCCAAGTGGAAAAAGAACTTCTGCGAGCTCGCCGACGCTGACACCACCAAGCGCTTTGCCGTATA